ACTAGCTAATCTTTTGTGAAATTTTTTCCTGAATAATTTATATTAAAAATTTTTAATTTTCTATTTGTTGCTGTTATATAGACTTACAATTGATTTTTTTAAATATTGATTTTATATTCAGTGACGTTGCTAAATCACTTATCAATCTAATAGTTTTCCTGTAGGTTATTTCAGATTTTCTGTTTGAATAATCAGTTGGCTGTAATAATGTCAACTTTGTTTCATTCTTTGCATTCATTACACAGTTTCTTAATTTTTCTCACCTATTGCTATGGCTATATAATGTTGAACGTAAGTGATGATACTGGGCATCGTTATTCTGTGTCCAATCTCAAGGGAGTGGTTGTAACCACTCAGAAAACTGCTCAGCAATATACGGTAGAGCTGAACATACATAAGCACTATGATCCAGAGCCCGCTCCTAGATAAGTCCCCAAGAAAAATGAGTGTATATGTCTACCAAAAGACAAGCAAAAGAATGTTCATAACAGTACTCTTCATGATAACCCCAAAGTGGAAACAACCAAATTTAGAACAAATAAATAAATTGTGATAAAATAATGAATACTATTTAGCAGTGAGAATAAATGAACTACTTTACATGCAACAATATGGATGAATCTCACAAACATGTTGAGACTATCGACTGAGGAAAAATCACTATGATTTGAACAGCAGATATTTATTTGGGCAACTAGAATTGCAATTTGGGAGACATAGATTCAGGCAGAAACCCAATCACAGAAGAGGGGCTTAGGATTTTTAGGAGAAAAAGGGAGGATGAGGTGAGTGGTATTAAAGAAGAGTTCATTGTTGCTAGATGAGGTAAGGCTGGGTTTTTACTTTATAGATTGGCCTGAGATTCAATTATCAGGCAAAAGGGTAGACTTGTACTTCATTGATTGGTTAATGATTTGCTCATCAGCAACGTCCAGCTTTATCAGGCCTTACAAACAGGATATTCTTGTCCTTATTGACTTCTTGGAATGTTGGTGTTTTGGTCCAGTTTGTAACATAAAGAAAACAAGACATGCAAGGCAATCTCTCTGAAATGGCTCTGGTTCTATTTTAATATGGCTCCACTCATGTCATCTTTCACAAGCCAAAGAAGTTAGACACAAAAAAGTATACATTGTATAATTAAATACAGTTCAAAAAGGCGAAACTAATCTGCTGTGTTAGAGGACAGGGTGCTTGTTACCCAGGGTGAGGGTGGTATCTCAGATGGAGCTAGAGGGGGTTTCTGGAGGACGGCTAAAGTTTCTGCTCTCGACCTGAGTAGGGGTATACAGCTGTGTTCACTTTGAGACTATATACGTATTTATTTATTTTAAAAATATACATGTACTTAACTGAAGTTCCATTCTCACTGAAAACTGTGAAACACAGCAAATGTCTGCCCAGCTCTGTAAATGCACATCTCCCACACAGACAGTTGACTTTTGGGTTGTATTTTGATATGTTTGTCCCTTTGAAGTTCCAGCTATGAGGGTTAAGAGTAGTAAGTAGAGTTTGCCCTGAAAAGGGTATAAATTCCTGATGTTAATCATTTGGAGAAGAGGAGCTTCTTAGATAGGAAACTGAAAATTAGAAGGCAGGCATTGTTCCAGTGAAAGAACGGATTCTAAACTCTGGCTGTGTCTTTTTTCCTTTGGTCTAGACTAGTGGTTCCCAATCTGTGGGCTGCAGAAGCTGAAGAGGCTAAGACATTGCTATGAATTTGAATATGCAATCCAGCAAGCATTATCCGTGAAGTGAATAAATGTCTCATACATATGTTACTATTATTTTAAAATACACATGGCTGCTTTTTAAAGAAATAAGAATGCATTACAAAAGAATTTCTAAATTAATTGTAGACTTTATTATGTATTTTCTCAAATATATAAAAAATATATACATAAAAGTACAGCTACTATCAAGGAAACTCAACATTTTGGGGGCAAAAGGTGAACCTAATTCTTAAAAATCTTTAAAACTCCTGATCTTGACTTAAACTGAGCAAAGCCTAGGTATGGGATCCTTGGAAATGGCAAAGCAGGAACTAGTTGGATTGGGCATTATATGCCAGAGAGAACAAGCTACTTGTATGTATGTAAACAAAATACTTACATATTTTGTAAGTAGAATATCTAGAAGCAAGTTACTCTGTTGTTTTCATCCTTGAGCTTTAAGAAAACCTTGTATATCTGTTTTAGAGCAATAGTTTTCAAACTTCAACATGCATAAGAATCCCCTGGAAAGCTTGTCAAAGCAGTTTCGTGGATGCCTTCACCAGATTCTGATTCAGTGGGTTGGGGTGGGGCCTTAAATTTGGCTTTCTAATAAGCTCATAGTGGATGCAAATAATGCTTACGTGAGAACCACTGCCTTAGAATCTTAACTGCACTCAGCAAACTAAGACAAACTGTTAGAGGGGCAAGTACTACTCCCCCAGACAGGGAGGCTGACAAGTGAGTTCCAAAGAGATGGTAAATACCTAGTGACAAGAATTGTTGCTTTGAGACCAAAACGCCCTTGCTTTGAGGGAAACACCCCCACCACTGCTAACCTTGGGGGAAATCAGTTGATTTTAAGTGGGTAAATGGGTTGCCTTTCCTTCAAAGAATAGTATATATTTTCAGGCTGGAAAGCAATCTGATGAGCTGATTGATGCCAGCAATCATGGAGTACCCTGGGAGATACCATGCTTTTAATCTAAATGATCAGTTTCAATGACAGAATTTCAGAAACCAGGACAATTAGATTGTGGGATATTTCTGGAAGGAGCTTTCATGTATTCCTAAATTACACTATGTAAGTAGAATGGTTGGTTGCCTGCTTAATTTTCTGTTATTACGATTTCTTCTAGCTCCTATAGCTTACTGTTTTCTCTGATCAGTTTTCATTATTTTACATGTATGTGGGTTTTTTTGCCCAACTACTTTTCTGCCCAAGTATTTTAATCCTCTCAGGCAGCTCTATCTCATAGAACTTCAATGATATATGCCCTCTGCAATACATTAGCCACTAGCCACATGTGGCTATTGAGCATTTGAAATGTGGCTAGTGCAACTGAGGAACTGAATTCTTAACTTCCGTTAAAGAAAAGAATTATTCACGACACTTGTTGAAGAGGATAAGGTGGAGAAGACCTTATTCAAGGGGTGGGGGAGGAGCAGTGTGATAGTATAGGGACCACTGCCATGGGTCTTGCAGTGGGAGAGAGATTGGGCTCAACTCTGAATACAAAATGGGCAAGTGGGAATTCATAGCCGCAGCACAGGGTGGAGGGTCAGTGGATGGAAAATTACAAAGAGGTGTTTAAATACAAAATTCAACTGAGTAAATTTTAAAGATCTTATCGGCTTTATTCAATGATTCGCGAATCTGGTAGCAATCCAATCCAGCAGGTAGAAAGGAGCTCTGAGGAACCATACAAAATGACAGACTTTTATAGGCAGAAGGGAACAGGAACAAGTTAGTTATACCAGGCAAACAATTGGATTGATTTATTGCAAGGGCACTTTCCTCTAGGAGATGGCAGGGCTCTATCAAGGCAGATCACCTACCTAGTACTCACCAGGTGATTCCTGATTGACTTGTTTAAGATTCCATTTCTGGGAGAGCCTAAACTGTAATTAAGTCTAGGTTTGGTGATGTGGAGCTCAACAAGCAACTCCATTTTGGGCCTACTGTCTTGTTTTTAACAGAGGAAACATCAGGAGGACTCTGGCTAAACCGACCTAACAGGATTCTTGCTGAAGGCAAGCCACGATGATCAGATATCACCTAAGGGATGTTGGAGGATGAAGAACCTGATTAAATATCAAAGTGACCAGATATTGAGAATGGGCAATTCTGGCTAAACTGACTTAGCAGGATTCTTGCTAAAACTGGACAATGCAGAAACAGGGAAATCCAAGAGTCAAGGCCTAGTCGAAAAAGAACTCAAGAGAAACCTGAGTCGAGGAGAGAATCTTTATTTCCTTAATTGAAATTTAAATTTCAATATTGGACTGCACAGCTAAAATTTTTCTAAGCCTTCACACTTCTTATGGAGATGATATAAGATATTACAAGCACATGAGTTTACCAACAATGAATTAATTATCTTACTCCGAAGCAAGATGACTTCCATAACCGGCACGTTTGTTTGGTAAAAGATGATGCTCTTTTTTTTTCTTTTAAAATTGGCACCTGAGCTAACAACTGTGGCCAAACTTTCTTTTTTCTGCTCTCTCTCCCCAAATCCCCCCAGGTACATAGTTGTATATCTTAGCTGCAGGTCCTTCTGGTGGTGCTATGTGGGATGCTGCCTCAACGCGGCCTGACGAGGTGTGCCATGTCCGCGCCCAGGATCTGAACCAGCGAAACCCTGGGCCGCTGCAGCGGAGCGTGGGAACTCAACCACTCGGCCACCGGGCTGGCCCCCTTGTTCTTTTTATAGGTAACACTAACTTTTAAGTTGTGTAACGTTTACTTAACAAGCTGTATTTTCCCTAACTCTAGGAGTGGTTGCCTCTCCTTTTGCCATAGTAGTTTATTTGGCACAAAACCCGCAGGCATACAGGAATTAGCATCAAGGATGGTTTACATTCTTTGAAAGGGCTGAGAAATCTGTTCCAAAGTTGAACACAGGTCACCAAACTGACCTAGATGATGTTTAAAATAAATTTCAAATACCGCATTAAAAAAAAAATCAAGACTAGGAAGAAAAAGAGAACTGGGACGGCAAGAAGGAAGGAGGTCTTCTCACGGGACTTCCTTGGCCTGCTGCACTCCTGGGAACCTCGCGGTACTCCACCTCCTCCCTCCGACCAGCCCGAGCGAGTCCTGGGGTCGGGCCACCTTCGGCCCAGACTCTCGGGACAGCAGCCTCTGGGTGGTGCCTTTGGCCCCGCCCCCTACCCACCTGGGCTCCCTCTGGACCACGCCTCCCCGAGCGCCCCGCCCAGCCGCAGTCGGACCGGCTCGGCGCGAGTCAGCGCGCTGACGTCCGACGCTCCAGGTACTTTCCCCGCGGACGGCCCGGACAGGCGTGGGGGCGGGGCGGCGAGCGGAGCGCGCATGCGCCGCAGCGCCAGCGCTCTCCCCGGATCCTGAGGGGCCTGAGCCTCTCCGCCGGCGCAGGCTCCGCTCGCGCCAGCTCGCTCCCGCCGCCATGTCTTCTACCATCGAGCGGGAGTTTGAGGAGCTGGATGCTCAGAATCGCTGGCAGCAGTTGTACTTGGTGAGTCGCGGGCTCGACCGGCAGCCGCTGTCCTCCTCGAGGACCCAGGCTCGCGCCCGGCGGCTCTCGCCCGCCTCCCCCGCCTCCCGCTCGGGGCGGAAGTGGCGGCGCGCGGGCCGCGTCAGGGGCGCGCTTGCGCCGACCGAGTCTCCGGTTCCTTTTGAAAAAAAGCCTGGTTGAGGGTGCTAGTCTTAAGCGCAAGCGCAGAGTTAGTTCTGGAAGGTGGCGCCACAGCGGCGCCTTGTGGCGGGCGTGGACGTGTTCTGCGGCCCCTGGGGACCCAGGAGGCCGGGGGGCGGGGGGCGACCGGTGAGACCTGGGAGCGATTAGAGGGGCCGCGGGGGCCGGTGGGACCGCGGGGGGGCGGTGGGGCCGCGGGGAAGCGTGGGGAGGGGCGGGGGTGGCGGGGAGCCGGCGGCAGCCTCGCGGTCGCTCGCACGCCCCTGCGCCTGGCTCTGCCCACGGACCCCTTTTCCCCTGGCCAGGTGTCCTGGCCGAGCGGGCGGGGGCCGGCCGCGGCGCCCAGTTCCGAAGCCGCGGCCGCTCGTGCCTCGGGTGCTGGCGGTGGCTCCCGGGCCTCTCGGAGCGGCAGTGCCGAAGCCGCAGAGTCGGCCAGAGCTCCTGGCGCCTCAGCTGTTAATTTTCTCAGAGCCCCGTGTCATCGTGTGGGTCGTCCTCCACAAAGAGCTTGCAGGAACGAGGATAGGCTTTGTTTGTATTAGTTAAAAGAAATAATAAGGATGTTGTTCTATTTGAATTTGTTTTACTAAGGCATACTTTACGTACAGTAAAAGACATGTATGTAGTTAAGCAAGTTTCATAAATGTATAATCTGTGCCAGCGCTACTCAAATCACAATAAAGAACCTTTCCACCACCCCAGAAGGTGCCCTCATGCCCCCTTCTCCACCCTATAGGCCACCACTGTTCAGATTTCTTATCACCATAGAATAATCTTGGCTTTTCTCGAACTCATAAGTGGAATCATGTATGTAGTTGAACTCTTGTGACTAGCTTCTCTAGATCAACTAGAGAACCTTTTAATTAAAACAAGTTTGTCTCTGTTAAAATGATTTAACTGCCTGTTCTTTACTGTTTAATTATTAGTATAGTATTCCCAAGGTTGAATTGAGTGGTTGATGAGTTAAGTGCTGCTCCTGCTGTTCGGTTCAGTCTGTGTACAGTAAAAGGGAAAAAAGAAAAGGGCTTTCCTGTAAATCTGGATGATCCTGGGTTTTTCCCCCTTCCATTTAATTAGATGACAGTAAAAAATGTTTCTTTTGTCATTATGTTTAGAATCTAACATTTTCTTCTTGAACACATTAGCAGGAAGTAGAGTAAATACCCTGACTCACATGGGTAGAGAGTATGTTAGAATAGGGTACTAACTTTGAAGAATGCTGGTAAGGACTTTTCCAATTATAGAAAATTTTAAATGCAAATTTTAGTAGGAATCTTAAAGTGAGAGCCTGCCAGCTGTCTTCTCTAGTTACATTTGTTTTAGTAGAGGCTGCTGTCTCCAAGTTGCTAGTGATATATCAAAATACTGATTTGAGAACAGAAAGGTGAAGGCTACAACTTAATTCAGCTTAACATTTTGGTTAAGCAATTTGATGTTTTTTGTTCGGTATCTTTAATATCCTTGAAAATTCAATGAAAACTAATCCCTCACGAGAAAAAGGCATTGACTTACATCTGCTGAAAATTTCACGTTCAGTTTCGAGGAGTTCAGGAAATCCTTCCATGGACTTGTGCCTCAGAATCCTTTAGTTTAATGGGTTGGTCATTGCTCTTATTTTTATTTTTTCCTAATGGAAGAACAAGAGCATTGGTTTGGTCAGTAGAAATCATGCAGTACACACTGGTGTTATAGTAAAAGTAGGTCACAAACCAAGAAAGTTAGTAACAAAAAGCAAGTCTAGGAAGAGTTTAGACTAAGTGTTTTCCTCTGACCCTGGAGTATCCATTCAGCCCTTCTATAGCTATGTACTGAGCATCAGTGGCATGCCAGCCCCTGCTCTGGGCCTTGGAGATTCAGCAGAGAATGCCACAGACGAAGCTCCTGCTCTTGAGGAGCTTACATTCTAGGGCTTGTTCTCTTGAGGGCCTCCTTGCAATTGCATAATTTCATTCATTCACTCTTAACACACCTGTTATGTGCTAGTGTTAGACTGAGTCCCTGCTCTCAAGGATCCAGACTCATGGGGAGTAGTAAATACGTAAGCATGTGAAAACATAAAAGTAATAAATGCAAAAGCTGTGTTAAGCACGAGGTGCTGTACATTCCCAAAGGGGCACACCTGGGAGTTCTGGTGACACTTCCTGGAGGAGAGAGGGCCTTACCTAAGTCTTGAAGGACAAGTAGGCCAGGTGAAGCGAATGAGGGAGGAAGAGAGAATTAGTGTTCCCGAGAAGGAAGAAATGTGTGTAAAGTTCCAGTTCATAGAATGCCAAGAGAACTACCAACAATTTAGCCTGGCGAGGAATGGGGTGTGAAGTTGAGGAGCTAGAGAGAGAAGGCCAGAGAGTAAGACAGAGCCTGTGAGGCCCTTGGAGATCAGACTGAGGAATTTGAGCTACTCCATAGGACTCACCAAGGAATTTTAAGCCTGGAAGTACCGTGATCTTAATATTTACTTTTTAGTGTGATCATTCCACCCGTGGGTTGGATGGGACTAACTAAAGGCCTGTAGCACAGGGAAATGGTCTGTTCGAGTAAACCTGAAGAGAAATGTTGAGCCCTTGAGCTAAGGCAGTAGCAGGAGGAATGAAGGGGAGATCGAGATTTGAAATGGTAAGGGGATAGATGTGTTTGGTTTTGAAACTGTTCAGTTCAGTTTAAGGTACCTGTAAGACATCGAAATGGAAATAGTTTAACATATAAATTTGGAGTTCAGGAGAAGTCTGAGCTATAAATGTGATTTTGGAAGTCATGAGCACGTAGGTGATGTTTCAGGTCCTAGACATGGATAAGATCACCCAGGGAAAATATAGAGGGTTTAGAAATGCTAAAGTCCAAGGACAGAATCCTGACAGACAATAACATTTAAAAGCGTAGGTAGAGAAAGAAGAGCTTGCAAAAAAGACTGGAGAGGAATAGTCATGGAAATGAGGAGAAAATCAGTGGTGGGGTGTGGAGGGAGTTGATGGTCAGCAGGACTACATGCTGTGGATGGGACAAATGAGTTCAAAACTGAGAGGCTCCATTGAATTAACGACTAGAAGATCAACAGGTATCTTAAAGAGAGGAATTTCAATGGGGTACAGAAGTCAGATGCCAGGCGTTGAGAAGAGAAGGTGGAAAGAAGTAGAAACCAGCAAGAACAAGTGTAGACCACTCTTTTAAGAAACCCAACTTGATGGGATAGAGTGAGGAAAGGTAGCTAAAATGAAGCATGATTATGTGACTTCTCTACTTAAAACTTTCAGTGGTTTCCCATTGCTCATAAAGTAAAATTACACCCCTCCTATGGCTCACGAGACCACATGTCCTGCCTCTCCATATGACTTTCTTCCCTGTTTTCCAGTGGGTTCTGTTCCTTGAAATGTGCAAGTCCATTCTCCCTTAGAGCCTTTATAAATGTAGTTTTCTTTGCCTTAGTACAACTCTTCCCAACCACCCCCTCCCCCCCCGCCCCGTTTCTTTTCCCTTTTGCTTAACTGCCTCCTACTCATCCTTGAAGTCTCACTTCCTTAAGGGGGCCTTCCCAACCCTCCCATGCAGCGTATGATCCCCTGTTACATACTTCTATGGGATCCCATGGACTTCCTCTTTCATAGCAGCACATTGGATCTAATGGAGCAGCAGATTAGGGAACATAATTTGCATTAAGCAAACCGCTATTGCTTGAGTAGGGAAAAAGTAGTTAAGTGGGCTGTCTGCTTTGTATATCCTAACAGTGGGTGATATTTATGATAATGTTTGAGGAGAGTTGTGCTTTTTTGGCAATGTTAATTGGACTAGGAAAAGAAAGGCTTTACACTTGAGCAGAAACTAGATATAACTAAAAGCTAGACTTGCTTAGTGGTATGAGAACTTTACACCTTATTGATAGTCTTGTAGGAAAAGCGAATTTATTATTTTGAGTCTGAAACACTCTGGCCCCTTACTCCTTTTTACTCCCTTTGAACAGTTGCGTTTGTGTGTGTGTATGTGTGTGTGTGAGGAAGATTGTCCCTGAGCGAACATCTGTTGCCAATCTTTCTCTTTGTTTTTGCGTGAGGAAGATTGTCACTGAGCTAACATCTGTGCCAGTTTTCCTCTATTTTATGTGGGATGCCGCCACAGTGTGGCTTGACGAGCAGTGCTAGGTACGCACCTGGGATCCAAACCTGTGAACCCCAGGCTGGCAAAGTGGCGTGTGTGAACTTAACCACTACGTCACTGGGCGGGCCCAACGGTTGCCTTTATAACATAACTTTCGATAATAGGAGGTTTCTTGGGAATGAATTACTGAGTTGGGGCAGAACAGACTATTAGTTTGAGTTTATCTTCACTACCTCATCAGAGCTTCATGTAGGCAATGCCAGTACCTTTTGCAAATTAGGCACTTAGTAGGCACTGGATAAATATTTGTTGAATAATGACTTCTTACTAGAGAAGGATGACTTGATATGTTTACATCATTAGGGGATAAACCTAAAGAGAGAGGTTGGAGGTTGAAGAAATAGAAGGGATGATTGTTGGAGCCAGAAACCTCAGAAAGCAGGAGCTGACGGGATCAAGAGCTCACAGGAAAGGGCACAATTGGCAGAGGTGATATTACTGGAAAAGTCTAATTTGATCTGACTGACAAACTAGTAGCATTATTTTAGTCTGAGGTTAATTCTGGCTTTTTGGGAAATGTTCATGATTGCCTTTTTGCCTTTCCTTTAGTCACTGCTGATTGCCGTCTGAATCAGGCTGCAGCATGAGAAGGGCAGAGAAAAGGAACGGAGTTCAGTAAGCCTGTTGGGGAAGCGAGTAAAACTGGAGGGAAATGGGAAAAGCTAAGTCATGGA